AAGACACAATTATATTGAACAGATTTGACCTGATACATTATTTAAACTCTACAAGGACCACAGAATCATGTATTAGTGTATCAATATTTGCTTGGAAAAGCCCCCAAATGAGAATATTTTAATTTAACAACATTATTATTGTATCTAAAGGTAAAAAATCAAATGATAGAAAGGTGTGTTGTTTAAAAGAGCTGCGATCTGTGAAAGCCATCACCCATCATGCTATGAAATTAGGATTTTATTTTCCTGGAAAACAGACTTCAGATGAACACCCCCCCGGGGCTATTGGTGGATGCACTGTTGACTGTTTATGAGGCAACAAGTAAAGGGCAAGACTGGGGAAGGATCTGTGTAAGTGCAAAGTTAAAGTGTTGCTGAACTCAATAGACTCCATTTCTAGCAACAGCACATTAAACTGGAGTCTCTGATTCATAAAGGGACAAAGAAATGTGTTTTGACATCAGCCAGGCAACTTCCAAATACTAAGGTATCTTTCTAACTAACTTCACTGTCCATATATTTGGAGTTTTGGGCATTAGATTAAGTGTTTTTTTAGTGTAGATTAATGTTGTTTAAGAAATTGATTCCTCAGTTTGTTTATCCCATAAATCCATGTAACACCCTGGGCATTTCTCACGATCTAGCTTCACTAATTCTTATTTTGCCTTTGCCAGTTTGCACAGCAAGAGACAAACGGCCTGTTTGTGCTCTCATTTCAAAATGTAGTAATTTAGGAGTGTGATAAAACATTATTGCCTGTGAGCTTAAAGAAAAATGTTTTCACACAAATAACCCCGGTTTCCTGTGTGACTGTCAGATTGTCTGTAACTTGTCCCTTTCACTTTTTAAAATGGGTCAGTCAAGTTACCCTGAATACGTCATCTGATGCTCAGCGTGTAATAGCGTTGGTTCGAGCTGTATTCACTCGTCATCGCAGAATAACATGCTGGTTAAATTCACCTTGCATGGCTTTACTGAGCTGACTGGAGGCTGTGTCACACTGCACTGACACCCCTTTAATGCCTGCACTCAGCCTGGAGCTGCTGAAAACAACAAGTGCGTCTGTTGTCATAAGCATCTTATTTCCACTACAACTCACAAGCTCTGCGTTATGACGTGGGAAGATAAATATTCAATAATTGGTGCAAGAGAAGCAGTCCAAAAAACTGACAGTTAAATGATGCATGCACATTTTTCAGAGAACTTCAGACTCAACACAGTCCGAATTAGATTTTTTGAGTTATTTAAAGGTCCAGTGTGAAACATTCAGGAGGATCTGTTGGCAGAAATTGAGGATATTAATATTCATAGAGGTAGTTTCATTATTTCTATTAATCATGCTCTCTTGATATATATATATTTAATCTCTATTATTATTATTTTATATGTTTTTATTTACAGATGCCGCTGGTTGCCCTCCGTGGAGTCCTCCATGTTTCTACAGTAGCCCAGAACAGACAAACCAAAAACTGGCTCCTTATCAATCTCATCTGTATATAAAAAGCTATTCTTTTTTTAGTATTTAATGAGTTTTTTCAATGGAATTACCTCACTTTGACCTTTGGTAGAGCATTGACTGACGCCGATATAGATAAATATCCAGCCAGCCAAACGCAAACCTTGAGATCTTATCCCTACTCTCACAATCAAATCCACCACAGCATATGAGCCCAACGTTTCTCCTGGTGTTGCCCAAACAGATTTTCAGAGTCTCAACAAAAGACACCAGAAGGCAGAAGAGAAAACTACAGCATCAGATCAGAGTCAAACACGCGATAAAACATGCAGATTATATAATTTCAGGTTGCCGGTATTAGCCGCCACCTGCACAGTTTAAGTCCGAGTGCACAAACTCAACAAAAGAGTCGTACAGGCAAACATGGCGCCTGTGTGTACACAGCTAACCAGCAAGCGCCCAAAAGCAGCCACCACAAATCAAGTGGACGTATGGTCGTGCGAATCAACCTAACTTTAACAATTTGGGACAGACACCAAGGCAGACACTAAATGGGTGGATGGCTCTTCTAAAAAAAAAACCCTCAGTGTTCAGTGTTCTGTTTATTGTACCATCACTAATATTTTCTCCGCACAGAAATCTTGATTAAAAATTAAAAAGTTAGAGCAGCGTGGCCAATGACTTTATGTGTATGACGACCCCGTGTTCATGAGGACAGTGTTTTTTGGAATTTTTATTGAATCGTGTTATTCTTCAGCGATGGGTCAGGTGATCGTCAGTGGCTCTGAATCAGCCGTGTGAAAGTCAGGCAACAGAGGAAAGCTGGTTTACCGTTGACGGGGTGTCTGTGTAGGGTTTTGGACTTTATTTTATACCTGTTGGCAGTTCATCAGAAGACTTTAAAAGGTTTTAGCTAACATGAAGTTTTTTCAGCTCTAAAATGAGCTATTTCATGCAGGGATGGAGCGGAGGGTGGCTTCTGGGGCTCCAGCCCTGAATGTTTTCTCAAAAGGCCCGACTCTTTTATTACTAAAAAGTTCTATTACTGGGGATAGAAGATAAGTTCCTACTGTACCTACAACATAGGATATAGGCTCTACGGGATGATTTCTTTACTGGGCACATATGATGTTGTGCAGATGTCCAAATGATGTTCAGATTTTTAGGCATTTGTATGATCTCAACTAAAAAACATAGCTGCCATAAATGGGAAAGAAATTGAGTGCTTTGAGCTAAATGCTAACGTTACAGCATGCATTATGCTGACATGCTGATGTTTAGCAGGTGTAATGTTTGCCACGTTCACCCTAGCCTGTTAGCGTGCTAATATTTGCATATGTGTGAGTGCAGTCTGTCTGCACCAACGTGACGTTGCCAACCTGAGAGCTTTGCAACGGCTAAACATCAATATAATCAAACGTTTAAGAGATGAAATGAGATGATAATTAAAACAAATGCTTCTCTAATTGGATTTGTGGATGTTTTGCCTGCTGGGACCAGAATAAAATCTAATAGTCAAGTCTGGATGAGATTAATACCATATTATTACATTTTGTTGCCAATTTGTGAGCATAATAATTCCTCTTCTTTTCAAATATAGTTCATTACTATCAGGATTATTATTATATTTGATTGGAGCAGTTGTTTTGAAATGTTTCTCCTTGTGTCTCAGACACTTCTGACATAATTATACAGAATAAAGCATTGAAATGTACTAAAATTTGAATTAAAGAACAAACAAATGAATGAATACCGTGAATAAATACATGGAAATCAACTGTATGACAATGAAACCTGAGTGATGTCTTTCTCCAGAGGCTCTAATGTGATGCCATCACTTAATAAGTGTCATACTGCAGCTCCCTGCTGGTAAGAAAATGAATCGTATTTAATAGTTTAAAGGGTTGGTTCACCAGAGAAAATGTGTTTTCACTTTCCTCTCATGCTGTCATACAGATACTCTTTGGTTTTAATTTAATTCTATTTAAATACACGTTCAAATTTTGAATCTCTTTGTCACACACTTCAGAATCTCTTTGTCACACACTGTTAAATAAATGAATATTGTAAAACTGTCCATCACATACATATTCTCTATCCAGAAAAGAAGTGTAGAACAAAAACAATCACTATACACAATCATGCAGTGTAGTAGATGGTAGCCGATCCACACATGCAGTATCGTGTCTGAAGTTTTTTGCTGAATACTGATTTCGTGTTATGTCTTCTCCGTGTTCTGACATGTTTTAATTAGTCAATTGAGAATTAGCTTTCCCCTTAAACATTCTTTAATTACTTTTAATGGCGACTAAAAAGGGAGAAGAGCTGTATGGACGGCCTGTATATATCACACGGACGATAATGGAGAAGACGTGATGGTGAGGAGCCAAGTATCTTATGACTGAAGGCTAATTTCATTTAGTGTAATTAGACAATTACAACCTTAATAGTTATATTTAGAGACTCTTTCTGCTCCCTCATTATTCTACATCTTCAGTTCTCTCTCATCGTCTCTGCTTCACTGATAATTGGACAGCATCGGGGGTGGATCTAGAGGATCTAAAGGATCTAGAGTATCGCCTTAGCCTTCAGCTACCGAGCTCCTCTCCTGTGCAACCAGCTTCCAGCTTTGGTTCAGGAAGCCGACGCCCTCTCTACCTTTAAGAGTAGGCTTAAGACATTCCTCTTTGATAGAGCTTATAGAGCCCCGATTCATCCCTTCATTATGCTGCTACAGGCCTATACTGCCGGGGGAGTTCCCATGATGCTCCTCTCTCCTCCTCTCTGCACACATTCATGTCCCATTAATTCATGTTACTAACTTATTATTATAGTTGCCAAGTGCTCCAAGTACAGTCGAGACCTGATCGATATGAAAATCTGGCAAAGAAACAATTTATTGATTTTTAATCCCACTTTTAGATATTTCTATTAAACGCTTCACTAATGTGCCACAATAATGTTTTTTAATATGGTCATTTGGGGGCTTTTCCCCAAGCAAATATTGATACATGTGATATGTGTGCTATCTGTCCCTGGAGGTCATCTAGTGTGTCTCCACTCAGCTAAAAAACAGTCACAATTTAGATTTGTTAGACAGTTTTTCTTCCATTAATATTGGCTGATTGACTTCAGGCGAAAAGATGTCACGAGAAGCGTCTTAATCTCAAATAAAAAACTGTATTCTGCTGAAATCACAGGACACACACGGGTATAAGAAAGGGAACAAAATTACACAAAAAGCTTTAATCCACTTGTTTGAATGAAGTTCAGTTCTAAATCAGCTTTAATGGGTTTTTTGTGCATTTCAGAGATTTTGTGCTTTTAGTGGATTGATAAAAACTCATTCAGGGACAATTTTGATCAATTATTCACTTGAGCAAGCAAAAAAAAGAGCTTAATTGACAATGAAAATAAATGTTAGTTGCAGCCCTAATTGTGGCCTACGGTTTAACAGTACAAAGTGCTTTCATGACGTGAGTTTTAGTTTTTATTTATTAATTTAATCGTCTTATTTACTCTTTTGATTTGGTTCAGTTTGGTTCTAAAACATCCCGGAGAGCCACGGCGGCAGGAAGAGTCCGATTGTTCCCAGCAGACACACGATGATGAACATCCACAGGAAGATCCGGTCTACAACCATGGCGACGTACTTCCAGTCCTCCTTCACCTGTAGAGATGGAAGAGACAAAAAGAAGACTGTGAATGTCGGGATGTCTGTAAATCAGCTGAAGCTTCATTAGATGGGATGATCAGGACGCACTGAGAAGTCAGCGTCCTCTGCTCTAAGGTGCTCTGCGATGTAGGTCACCCCCTCCAGGGCTGATACCACTGCAGGAGACAGAACAGAGGCCAGCTGGTTCTGGATCAAACCACGCTCCACAGCAGGGGCATCCCAGTCCAGGCTGAGTGTGGAGTGTCTCTGTGGGAGGAGGGTGTAACCGCGAGGATCCCAGGGCTGAATTTCATCATCTCCGGTATCCGAGGAGTCGAGCCGGTGGCTGCTGCGGCACCGGTTGTCAACCTGGTAACCGTGGAGATCGATGTCAGACTCCTGAGTGATCCAGGTGGATGTGCTGTAGGCGGGGCCTGGAGTCCGGAGAGGGAGGAGTGTATCAGTCAGGTGGCGTCGCCTGAGACAACAAAGACATCTTTCAATACTTGTGACCTGAGTTTAGGTGCCCACATGATCATTTTGGTAACTTATTTAAAGAAATATAAGCATGTTTTTATACAAGAACGCTATTTTTAATTCAACAAAAGAAGCCAAAGGTCTTAAATACTGCTGTTGTTCCTACATTAAATAGTTTGTAAAAAGTGGCGAGGTTTGGACGTAAAGCTGTATGTAGCAGTATTTTTAATTAAAAAAGGATCAATATACTATACTAATACTACATCCACCAACTACTTAGGTTTAGTTTTAAAAAGTTTTGCTACGTTTTCACCAAGCGTCCACACTACTCCGGCGTTTTGGAGCCCCCTAAAATGGAGACGTTTGGAAAGGCTGCTGGCCCCGTTACAGTTTTAAAACTCTGGAGACTTTCAGAAATCTCCACTGGATCTCTGAACCAGCCACTTTACCCTCTGAGCAAGTGTTCATGCACTCTCAGTTTTCTTCTTGTTGCCGGTTTTTGTTCCCCCTTGCTTCAACCATGTATCCTGTTCCCTGCAGTACCGTATGCTCTGTCTCCGGTCCCATGTCCCCACATTGCGTCAGCCCTGCTTTTCTTCCCTGAACCCACCTCTTCACAGGCCTGCCTTCCCCATTCCCCTGCCTTAACAATAAATCCTGGGATCATTAGCTCAGTCTTCAGAGTTTTAAAGCTCTAAAATCCCACTGCACACTAACTACTCAGCACCAAATAGACAGACACAGCCAGATGTTTCCCCCAGGAGTTGGTAGAGATCAAAAACAGAGGTTATAAAGAGTGAATATTTGACTCCAAATGAATAATAAAGTCGCTCAATAACTGCTGGATGTGTAAATATGCAATCCAATGCCAGTTTTCAGAAATTGATAGTTTCATTTGCCCTGGAAGTAGAGAACGAGTGAATGAGGGACAACTGGCCTTCTGGTTTCTCACCTCACAGGCCTGAGACCATGGTCTGGACGCTTCATGCACAGCCAGCCTGGCACCGCAGAGAGGAAAAACCTACGCACCCAACGAGGCATGGTGTGAGTCGCTGACGACCGGTGGTGCACGTTCAGCACAAACACGGTGATGACGATGGACAGCGTGACGAAGATCATAGTGAAGAGCAAGTACTCCCCGATCAGCGGTATGACCAGCGACGTGGAAGGGATGATCTCTGTGATGAGCAGCAGGAAGACGGTGAGCGACAGCAGCACGGAGATGCACAGCGTGATTTTCTCCCCGCAGTCCGACGGGAGGTAGAAGACCAGGACGGTGAGGAAGGAGATGAGGAGGCAGGGGATGATGAGGTTGATGGTGTAGAACAACGGGAGGCGGCGGATGACAAAATAGTAGGTGATGTCGGGGTAGATCTCGTGGCAGCAGTCGTACTTCTTGGTGTTGTAGGTGCCCACGGCGTTGACAATTGCCCACTCTCCGCTCTCCCAGTAATCCTAGAAAAGAGATCTGTTTTTAGACAGTGTGCTTTTAGGAACTTAAGGTCCACACTTAAATATCTCAACAACTATAGACCTTTTTCACATCAGCCATGTGACATTTCTAACCCTGGAGTTGGACAAATATAGTAGGTTACCTAGGCTCACCCAGAAGTTATGGTATGCAGTAAGAAGTAAGGGACAAAAATCAGAAGTGCTGGTGAGTACTGGCACTGCGTACGATGGATAAAAGTTTTGGTCTGATCCAAGCGGTTGCAATGAAGTAAACACTGGTTAGTATGGTAGTATTTGTCCTACTAACATGCTCCTAATAGCAATTTGAACGTGCTGATTTTAGCAGGTAATGCTACAATCTTAGTCTATTATTCAGTAAGAGTGTATAGTTCTTATGTTTATGTATAAATTACTCTTACACTCTGGTGGCACTAGAGGATAATTCAGAGGATCACTAAAGTCAGCAGGCTTCATCCTCTGGGAATAATGGATGCCTGCACCAGATTTTGTGCCAATCCTTCTGGTACATGTCAAGATATTCATTGAATAAGTGAAAAGTTTTATTTTTCAGTGCAGAAGAGTAGAAATGTAAATTAAGTTTACATCTTGAAGTTGCCAGTATGTGTGTTGCTAAAAACTGCTTCATCAGGCTAACTTGTATTTAACTCCTCTGCTTTGAAAGACCATTATAAAACCCTCAGCATTTTAAACCTAAGAAATCTCTCCAGGATTAAGCGTTTAGATCTCGAAAAACTAATCCATGCATTTTGTTTTCATCAGAACTTAATGCTTAAATGCAAAAAAACACTGAGAAATATTCTGTTAATTAAAAAGTAAGCAGCCAGAACGTTCAGCTGGCATCCTCCTGCAAAACAAAACCTTGGGAAAGAGCATGTGTGAACCGTAGATAAGACGAGGTAAAGAGGCAGAGCGGGCATTAATTGGCACAAACTGGCACACACTCAAAATCAAAAAACAAAGAAAGAAAGAAAGACAGAAAGGATGGAGGAGAACAAAAAATTCCTGCACCTTCAAGTCCACCGTGTTCTCAAAGGGCTCCAGGTCGATCTTGGCGCGGTCGTACGTCCAGGAGCCGAACTTCATCTTGCAGCTCTGCTGGTCGAAAGGGAAGAAGGTGACATCGATGGAGCAGGAGGACTTGTAGATGGCTGGGGGCACCCAACGGACACGACCGGTGTGAAACACATGGGCCTTGGTCATGTGGGTGACGGCGAACTCTCCGTCTGCACTGGAGAAAGGAAAGTAAGAGGGGTTAAAGCATAGCATTGAGGCAGGAAAAAGCAGGGAGGAAAGACAGAAAACATATTATTATAGTATTATCTGGATTAAAAGGAACGATTTTTTGTTTTTGGCTCCCAAGTTTCCATCTCAAACTCAAAAGGTGAATCAATAAACCTTGAGCTCTTCCCAGTTTACACAGGCGATGTTTAATAATTGATCACTGGATGTTAACGACTCTGTATTCATGATGCAAGCTCATTTACACAAATGCTGAAGGAGGAGAAAGTTTCGTCTCCATCCAGACAAATTTCAGAATTAATACTTCCTGGGGCCCCTCGAGGGGAGAAAACCAGACTGAAACTGCATGATGCAAGATCTCCATACAGCTGCAATAGAATCAGGGTCATTTATTCATCAGGATCATTTGCATGGGTTACCAATCGGTATGCAGGAATATGCAGAAAATCTGTGCTATCGTCAAGGCTCCATGTAAATGACCTTCCTCCTCACACGCTCTTCAGCCGATGAGCACATTGTTATGGATCAAGTGGGTAATTGATCACTACAGATAATTTCCAGCTCCGCCTACAGAAAATACAAAGTTATGTCTGTTCCGGTACAGTATGAGTGTCCTTGGATGTGTGTGTGTGCTTTTCTTACAAACCTTTTACACAGCGTTTCAGGTGTCAAGAAACAAGACTTGAACTAGAAATAAAACTTAAAACTGAACTTATTTTAGCTGTTTTAAAATTTAGTTAGTTAATTATCACACAAAACTCTCTTAACATCAAAACAACATTTAATCACATGTTGAAGTGCTTCCTTAAACTTCTATTAACAGAAATATCTGTGTATGTGATTGTAATAATAAAGAGGATTTGTGCAACTGAAGCAAACCGCAGTAGTTTGGTGACACTGTGTGTGTTTTTTACTTGTTATACAGCACAATGTCCGGCACCCAGATGAGCTCAGAAGGAACTCTGATGGACGTCACGTTGTCGAAGTCGGAGGGACTCCACTGCAGCTTGTAGTCAGTCCATTCCTACCGACACATGAGCAGTTTTTGGGACAAAACTCTTGTTTAAACCGCTTTACAATTACTGTACAGGTCAGTTTCTTACGCACCTGTTTAAGCCACACGTTGGTCGTCATCATCTGGTTTTTCTCATCCTGTTTTGGAGCCAAAAATAGACAAAAACGCTCCGTGAGAGTGAGAGTGGGAGATACAGTCGGGTTGAGGGGGTATTAAAGGACCAGTGTGTAGGATTTAGGAGGATCTATTGGTAGAAATATTCAGAATTATGTTTTCATTAGCGTACAATCACCTGATAGTAAGGATCGTTGTGTTTTTGTTAGAATGAGCTCTTCCAGTAAGGAGCCGCCATACAGTAGCCCAGAGCAGACAAACCAAACACTGGCTCAAGATTGGACATTTTGTATTTTGACCTACATAATTAGTAAGGCAGGGAGGGGTATTCAGTTGGTTGCAATCTGCAGCCTCACCACTAGATGCCCCTACACACTGGTCCTTTCACAAAACATGGTTGTAGACTTTTATCATCCAAAATGACAACTTTATTCTAAATATTTAAAATTATGAAGCACCCTGGTCAGTTTTTTTTTGGATCTACAAATGTGTGTGTGTGTGTTCCAACCACATCTATCAGCTGTGCGATAGAGAGGCCAAACTTGACGATGACCACGTCGGTGATGTTTCGTGCCGGACGCGTCCACTTGCTGTAGCCCCCGAACAAGCTCCTGAAGAGCTCGTCCTCGGTGTGAACCCGAGTCCAGTCTTCAGCCAGCACTGACGGAGAGACAGAGAGGGGCTGATTGCATTTAGATTTCTTTTTTTAGGGTCTTGATTATCACGTTGTCTTAAAAAGGAGATTAAACACAATAATAACAAATGTTTTAGTCATGCTCTATAGATCAGATCAGACATTACGAATTATTATATTAACTGCTTATAATCTATGTGATATAGGTGAGACTGAGTGAATTATATCGTTCACTGTACTGTATTTGTATTTAAAGGCCACATTTTTACAGTAAAATGTCCTCCAGAAGTGTTTTTGAAAGAGTTGTGTTTTATTTGCAAAGCCTTTTTGATTGTAATTTTCTTTTATATGTAATAATCTGTTACATTATTTAACCACTGCAGTGATATATTTAGTGTCTTTAAATAAATGTGGGCATAGACAAGCTGAACAAAAGTTGTTCTAAAGCATTACTAAATTATTTATTTACCATTAATAAAGCCTTTAGTTGGAATTATAACTCCATAATAAGAAAGTTTTCTTTTAACTTCTCCTTCACGCTGCTTTTGTTGCTTTTCCTCTTATATTCCCTTATTTCTGCTAAAGCCATTACAGCTGAGACAGTGAGAGAAATACTGTATCCTCTCTCTCTCTCTCTCTCTTTCTCTCTGGAAAAAAAGGCAATTACCTGAACTTTATTGTTCATAAAATCTCCGACTGTGATCTACTGCACTTTGATTTAATTTTATGTTACAAAGCAAAATCATTTGAGATAATTGAACTCAAAAAAAGCAACACGTAGCCAAGTTTTTTTTCTTTCTCCCAGCAGTCATCACTCATCGGGGTCATAATTTCATGCTTGAAGTAAACCTCTTTAATTCCCAGCATTCAATCTTTTGTGTCAGATTTGATTTGTCTTTCAGATTAAATGATCACTCCAGGAACCCAGAGAAACCTCCTTCTCCCCCTCTCTCTCTCTGTCTCTCTGTCTCTCTGTCTCTCTGTCTCTCTCTCTCTCTCTCTCTCTGAAAACACAGCTTTGAACCCTGGCAAGAAATCTGGCATCACCAGCAAGCAATTTAGGATTAGCCAGTGCAATAAACAGTGTGCCAAGAGCACAAACGTGCCAATGTGTGTAATGCCGGGTTTTTTTCTGATTGTATTGGCTATTTATAACCGACAAAATGATGTTTCAGGTGAGGCTCTGCCAGTGGAGGAGAGACAGTTAACATGTTGTGGGATTATGCTGCAGTTTGTGTCCCGGGATTCAGCACTGAGACCCCAAATAAACACCTTGTTCTGTCATTTCTACCCTGCAATATAGTTTGTTTCTTCCTATATATCAGCAAAACATGACATTTGAATCAACACTCACATTAAATTGTGCTTGTTTTCTTGGAAATACTTCATACATACTTCTTACTTCATACATGGAAAGTCATTGATATCCGATTGAGGCTCAGTTCTCAAAGGTGGCTCTTCCTAGTCACGTCAGTATAAAATATCTATGTTTGTATGTTGTTTTTGCATGTTTTTTTTTTGTCTTTATAAATCCAGGTGACATGTTGAATTAAATGTGCGTCCTCTATTTTGGTGAAATTCCTCAAGTGTGGTACTTTTTTTTTTAATGTACAGTGCAAGAATATTGATAATATTGTTATTAGAGGTTGAAAAACTTCTTTATGTGCATGTATGATACCACAGAAGACACAAATATTAAGTATCAGTAAGTCCTAAATATTAAATAAACACTACAAAACCAATATCAGGTGGTAAAATAACTCATTATACAAACACTTTAAACTTTTGCCTGACTTTATAGGCTACTCCTAGGAGGAATAATATTGTTTAATATGTAATAATTAAATTTAAATATTAGGACTAAATATAAAACCACTATTAAAATGGCACCATCCTTATATAAATATTAAGAACATATTAAACATCTCTCTTCAATTATTTCATTTAACCAGAATAAAAAGGCAAAAATATGACTATAAGCCTGTTGAAGGAGTTGCCTTCAAGTACCAAAAACGCACCGCACAGACAGTTTCTATGTGAAAATACCATTAATTCATATTATATAAAGTATAAATGGGATAAAGTAAGGAATAATATATAATCTGTCAGGAATATTATATTTATTATTCGTTCACTCACCGGAGTTGATGAGGATCCAGCAGCAGTAAAGCGCTGAAGTCCGCGTAAAATCTGCTTTCTGCTCCATTTAAAAAGCACAAAAACAACAACAGGTTTCCTTAAGATGGAGCTCAGTTTGTCTTAATGGCGTTCAGCCTTTGTTTTCCCATCGTTCATCTCCAAAAACAATCCCGTCCTGCTCGTCTTCAACCCGGCTGGATGGATCCGGGTCTCAGCCTCCCAGTATGAAGTCGTACTGAGATATTCCTACAGTGGCTGCGCTCAGGCTTTCACAGAGGGGGCTTATGGTGACCTTAATATATATATATATATAT